GTTACACTCCACTTATGTATAATGTGTTATACACTCTACTCTCATATATATCTAAAAAGAACAAATAAAATAAATGAAAGAAAATATCACCTTACAATGCATGATCACACTTGATTTTATTTCTATGCCTCTATGAATTGTTTTAATTAAATTTTTTTTATATATAGGAATTTAGTTTTGTATATTGGCACCTTTACTAAATTTAATTAATTTTAATAAATTATATATATAATTTTTTGGGTTTGGGGTTTTCCTCATACTCAATTATTTACTATAAATAGAAGTATTTATTACTAATATATCTTTTTTTTCTGACCTTAATGTACCAACTGGAATCTGAATAGAATGCTAAATAAAAGTGGTGATAGATTCCTAATCTCAAAAAGGGAAACTTTTTAGTATTGAATATTTTACCATTGTGATATTTACTAGGCCTTTGCAAATTAGGGAAACTGTGCTGGCTTGCTGAGATTATTTTTAGAATATAAATGGACATTAAGTTTTGTAAATTTTTTGCATCTATTTAGATAATTTTGTTATGTTTTCCTTATAATTTGCTAATTTGTTAAATTACTTCCATAGATTTGCTAAGCCAGGTGTATATTCCTAGGGTTTCAGCAGGTATAGACTCACTATCCTAAGTCTATCTAAGTTCTGCAGTTTTTCCAAGTTTACATTACATCATGGACATAATGCTTACAGTCTTTATCTAACATACACACTAATTAATATACTCCACAATCAATAATCCTATAACATTTTCTGGTACTTATATCTGATGTCATGTCCCTTTTATAGATTCTAGGTTTCCTTTCTTCTAATGTCCACTCCTCTTATCTTGCCTACAAAACCAAAAGCCTGCCCAGAGGGTACCTCTCCCTATTTTCCACCTCTGCCCAGAAAGGCTGGAAGGAAGCCACCCAGGGGGCATTCATTATCAACTCCTGGTGGTAGAACAATTAATTCCCTGGAGGCAGTTGCCAACTGGTTAGGAGGAGGGGGAAGTATTTTGAGATATTAGCATTTTATTTCTTTTTTAATTCCCCCCCCCAACCCAACTGTTCTTTATCTAAACTGACTACCTAACCTTTTGCCCTGGTCTCAATCCCCTCTCTGATTAAGGGTACCCTTACTACTGTAAGGGAAAATGGACGAGGATCACTCTGGCCTTAGCTGTGCTTTAAGTAGACTCTATAATATGATATGATGGTAGGTCCTGAGAGGGAGAATTTAGAAGAAGGAAACTTGTTAGGAAGATTTTCACTATTATTTAGTCAAAAGGAGATAGATTACAAAAATATAACCATAGCATCAAACCTGTCCATGTATTAACCAGTAAAAGATGACAGATGAAAGAAAAATTCCAAGGTGATTCAAAGAATAAAAGTCTAGGCAATTGGGACAATAGCACTTTCATTTGCAAACACAATGAAAATGAGCAGGTTGCAAGGAAAGATTAAAAATATGATTTTTAACATACTGAGTTTGAATTTTATATGGCAGGAAGGACAGCCAGCTGGAAATGTCAATTTGAGATGGTTTGAACTATAAATGTACATTTGGGAATCATCTGCATGTGATAGTTGGAATCCTGAGAGTGAATCAGCTCAAAGTATGGAAAGAAAAAACTATTCAGAGAAATACCTAGAGGAATGGATAGCTGTTTAGTGGAAGACGGGGAGATAACAAAAGAGAAACTATAAAGGGGATATAGCAGAAAATAATGGAATTGAAATTTCTCATAGCTTTTGAAATTTAGGAAATTTTTTCAGCAAGTTATTTGACTGGGTTTTCTGAAACAGATACTATTGCCATTGTTGGAAAGAATATTTTGGTGCCCTTCTTATTAACGTAATCTGCTGTGTTAACATAAATAACATATTAAAATTATCTATATTTCGGAGTTCAGTTCTGACCCTTATGAACAGATTTTGCTGTTTTTCTTTCTATGGAAAGAAACGTATTGCAGTCATTCAGAGCTTCTTTCACCAAACACATAGGAATAGATACATTACCAACCATTACAGGTGCCCTGTTTTACACATAGAATATCAAGGTACTGATATTATTTTCTAGTTAAAGCTTTGTCTGCAGAGTAAAACCTTCACTATGTTAAATTTGTGGCCTTTGATGTTCCATAAGAGCCCCCCAAAATAGAAGTTCAGTGCTGATAATGCTTTGGTGTTAATCATAATTGTAGTTAGATTGATTAACATGAACTGAATGATCTTGCCATATATAGTGTTACTTTTTTAAATGCATTTATTTATTTAACAATGCTTACTGAGTGCTGTCGTTGGGTACTTGGGATAGGTTCATAAATAAAGCAAACAGGTTATTGACCTCATATATCTTTTATTTAGTGATGACAGGTATAATAACCAATAAAGTAAAAGATAAAGTATATGAACTGTAAAAATATAGTAAATAGTATGGCAAAAATACAGCAATATAAGGTCTATCAGGAATGCTAGTTTGGGGTTGGGTGATTGAGATAGGCTGCATTATTAAATAGCATATTTCTAAATGGTGAAGGTTGCACTGGAGTTAAGCGTGCAGATCCTTAAAAGGAGAACACCAGGAAAATGGAACAGTCCTTGCAAAGGTCCTAAGGCTAGACCATTTCTGGGGTATATAAGGAACAACAAAAATTCAGTGTGCTTCAAAGTGATCAAGGGAAAGAGTGTAGAGAAGATCAGAGAGAGGTAGTAGGATAGAGGAGAAAGAAAGATCTTGTTACTACAACGCTCTGAAATAGTTAACCATCATCATACTCATTCTACAGATGAAACAGACATAAAGAAGAGAAGTAATCTGCCATAACATTATAACAAGAAGCAAATTATTTGATGCAATTATATACTGAAACTTTCACAGTGATTTGATTATTAATTCCTTTATGACCCTCTACAAAATATTAGATGAAAGATCAGAAGTTCTGGAGTAGTTGTTCATTTAATACTGCCTCTAATTTCCTTTCTCTGCAAACCAATATAACCATTTATAGGGCCTGTAATTTCATTACTTTCTTCAATTTCATATGATTTCCTGTAGTCAGAAAGGTAGTCAGTGTCCTTAATATGAGGCTTTTGATGAAACAAATCCAAATTTTGGTTTAGTTTCCCTAGTCTTTTTATATTGAGTTTTCTTAGAGATTTTAATAATCATATATAATATATGCCATCATATATATTCTTTATTTTTACATATAGAAATTCATCCTAAATTGTAACAGTGATAATGACATTTATACATTACCTCTGTACATGTGACTGACAATTTGAATGAATCAGTATAATGATTATAGGATTATTTGGCCCATGTTCATACTAACCATGCTTGAAGTGACTCACTGCCTTAATATAATTTCTTATAGAAAAACATTATAATAAAGATAATCTTATAGCTAGTAGACAAATAAGTAAGTAATAGAATAGTTTGAAAAAAAGTGAGTATGTGTCTAGTTTAGTGATCGCCTAGCTCATTCATAGACCACTCTCTACTTTTAGGTTAAGTGACTAGAGAAATTTGAAAGTCACAGTGGACAATTAAGTGAAAAGATAATTTAATGGTTCATTTTTATAATATTAGATTAATAGTTAAAAGAGCCATTATTTATTCTAAAGTAAATTTACTATATTGGGAATTTTATATTTACCCACTGCTTCGTATTAAATGGAACTGATTCAAATTTGTTGAATTTTTATGATCCATATTTTTTTTAGCATTGACTTAATGTAGGTGATCTTTGAAAGAATAGTGCTTTGCTAGATTCATGATTGTTTATATAATGATTTGTTAATCTAACAGTTAATAAAAATGAGAAATTATATCCTTGGTGTTTCTTGTTGGTCTTCCCACAGAAGTAGTAAATATATAAATCAAAATCATGTGTGGTTGATGATTTTAATCATTTGGCACTGACATGCTTTTGTCAAGTGGGGGCATCATTGGTCTTTCTTAAATAAGCAGTATGTTAAGAATGGCTTGCTTGTTAAACGACATTAAGGGTAAATAATTGTTTTCCTTTCACCTTTCCTTAGAATGCCTCCCTTTTATGTCTGCCTTATTATCATAGCAAGCACTTTTAATTAATAGCAAGATTAAAATCCAGAAATACTTAATCAATTTCTTTATATTTTTCCATTGTATCAGCCTCCAAGTTACTGTCACAAAATGTAGTTGTTCTTCAGTAAAATAAAATGACATAATTTTAAGAACAACAAAAATTTGGAATAAAAATCTTACAATGTAGACTTAATTTTATTCCCATCATTGTAGTCTTAAATATATGAACAAGGGGGAAAGAAAATGATAAAGATTTTAAAGACATGTATAACTAACTCAACTAATATTTTAAAAAATAGCTTTCAGTGATAATTAAAATGTATTTTGAGTATATCCAAAATGAATACTATTGTGTACTGTTGCTACCAGTAACTGGTTATTGCTAAAAACTCTAAAACTATTTTGCTGTTATTAAATTTATATGCTTGAATATGATAATCATTGTTATTTTTTTAAATGCATACATATTATTACTGTATTTTTAAAACTTGCTGTGATTTTGATCTCTCCTCTACTAACAATTTAGACTTTAAAATGCATTATTTTTAATCCAGTCGATAAGGAACCATGTTTATATGTGATGGCAATTGGGGGGAATTTTTAGTGTGTGAAAATTGCGTAGGTATTTAGCATTAAGTATTTAAATACTTTAACATGATGTTTCCATCAATAAAACTCTTTGCTTATTCTTATGTATAAGTTTAAAATCTCACCTATCTACATCCTTGTCAGGCAAATGCCATGGGCTAAAACTGAAGATAATAATTTAAGATTTATGTCTCCCTCTTGGATGTTATAGTTGTCATGAATTGACAGCTTTGAAGGACCTAAACTGACATCAAAGGGTTCAAATGATCTAGTTAGGTCAATTAATGTTAATTTCCATCTTCCATTAAATTCTTTTAATGTTTTCCTCTTCTCCTTTCTTCTAGCCAAGTCCTATACCAAGTCCTATTTTGGGGCGAAAGCCAAATGCTAGTCAGTCATTGCTTGTATGGTGCAAAGAAGTTACGAAAAACTACCGAGGAGTGAAAATCACCAATTTTACTACATCATGGAGAAATGGTTTATCTTTTTGTGCTATATTACACCACTTTAGACCAGACTTAATGTAAGTAGAAACAGTTTCCATTCCCTATTACATTGCATAAATAATAGAATTTCTTTTCTTTTTCTTTTGGCAGAACTTGGGATTAAACCCAAGGATGCTCCTCTACTGAGCTACCTCCCCAATCCATTTTATTTTATGACACAATCTCATTAAGTTGCCCAGGCTGACCTCAAAGTTGCAATCCTCTTGCCTTATAGCAAGTAGTTGATACTACAGGCATTATGCTACTATTCCCCAGTATTTACACAGTTTTTAAAAGAACCCCAAATCATTTCATAGAACATGTCCTGAACTACTTGACTTTATATTTCTTTTTTGCTAGCCACACGTTTTGCTTTTTTGAGAGAAATATATGCCAGGAAAACTGCTTCCTTCTCAATACCTAAAAAACATATTTTCCCTTTTAAAAAAATGATTTTTTTCTCCTTAATCTTGTACAAAAAAACTGACTTCAAATTATTATGAAAATTGTGTTAATGTTAAAATGAGATGAGATAAAGAAGCCTGTAGCTCTTTCTACATTGACAACAGGGATTACCTCATGGTAAATTTGGTTGTCATGGCTAGTCTCTGGTCCCCTGCCTTAACTTCTCTTTTAGATGGAAAGCTTCAGGCAGTGAAACATGTAATCACTGTTTTTATTTATTTATTTATTTATTTATTTATTTATTTATTTCCTTAATTTTCCACACTATTGGTTTTGTTGATTGAATTTCTGTGAAATTGCTGGTTACTCTGGTATTATTGAATGTCAAATTTTTAGATTCAGTTTGTTTTAAAAAACAGCTGTTTTTATCAAATACTTCATGTACCTACTGTGCCATTTTCTCCCTCAGTGACTACAAGTCTCTGAATCCTCAAGATATTAAAGAGAACAACAAAAAGGTAAGAAATGCCAAGGGGAAAAAGTACATAGCTTCAATTTTGGCTTCTCTGCAGGTTTTTTATTAATTTGGGGAAAGTGAAGGGAGTTTTGGTGAGGTCATAATTGCAGCTCTTAGAAGGTAATTTGCATTCCAAAGTTCAAAAATAGGATACTTGGTTTACTTTGGTTTATCAGGACTTTAAAAATCCAAGAGCCAGTCCGGGATCAGATTACAATATATGTATGGTCTTCATTAACTGTTAAATGTTTGTTTAAAAAAAAATAATGTTTTAATTGTAAGATTTAGCTTTTAAAAGTACACCCCAAACTATTGTGCCATAACTTTTACATAACATGTTCTAACACATTAGAAAAATGTGTTAGAAGGAAATGAGAGCAGGAACCTGATAGGTAAACAAGACTTTTTACCTAGGTGACTAGGTTTGTAGAAGCAAAAAGATATAAACATTGGTTCTTTTCACTTTCTAGTAAACTATATATGTGTTTCCATATAACTAATTAAAATATACTGAGATCAGAGCTTCCTTGCTGGCATTTGGAGATATTGATCCTTTCAGCCTTCAGGGCAACTGCATAGGGCTGAGTTGCAAGAGCCCCAAGGGCCAGCTGACTGTGGCTAGAGGCTGATGTATCTGTTTACCCCAGTGCACAGTACAGGATTATAATTTTCTGTGTGCAAGGAAGGAAGTGCCTAACTCTGCACACGTTAGATACACAAATGTTTGTTTGTACTGAATTGAATTCTTCATTTGAAAAATGAATGGAATGTATTTTCTTGGAGTTTTTGTTGTTGTTGTAGTTCTTTATTTTACAATACTGGGATTGAACCCAGGGGAGCTTTATCACTCAATTGTCCTTTTTCTTTCTTTCTTTCTTTTTTTTTTTTTTTTTTTTAGTTCTAATTAGTTGTACAAGACAGTAGAATGCATTTTGACACATTGTAAACAAATGGAGCATAACTTCTTCCTCTGGCTGCACATGATGCAGAGTCACACCATTAGTTTAATCATACATGTATATAGAGTAATAATGTCTATCTCATTCCACCATCCTTTCCATTCCCACATCCCATCCCATCCCCTCCCCACCCTCTGCACAATCCAAAGTTTCTTCATTCTTCCCTAATACCCCCCACGCCTGCATTATGGATCAGCGTTCACTTACCAGAGAAAATACTCAGTCTTTGTTTTTTGGGGGTTTGGCTTATTTCGCTTAGCATGATATTCTCCATCTCAATCCATTTACCTGCAAGTGCCATAATTTCTTCTTTAAGGATGAGTAATAGTCCATTGTGTATATGTACCACATTTTCTTTATTTATGCATCTGTTGAAGGGCATCTAGGTTGGATCTATACAGTCGTTTTTATTTTTTGAGACAGGGTCTCACTAAGTTGCTGAGGCTGATCTCAAACTTGAGATCCTCTTGCCTCAGCTTTTTGAGTTGTTTGGATTATAGGTATGTACCACCATGCCCACCAGAAAAGGAGTTTATAACTTGTGATCTCTGGATATAATTAAAGATGTCTTTGAAGATGTAGAGAAAAATACATTTTATTTTCAATTCTTTAAACATTAGTATTTTCTTCTATTGTAAATTTTGATTTTAAAAAATCATGGTAGTAGTAGGCATACCTTAGACTGTTACTTCAGAAATCATAGATTTATCCTATCTTACTACAGTTGTTGCAAATTTCTACAAATACCTTTTAAGTTTATCAAAATCAGTTATAAAAAATGTTCTCATAAAAAGCATACACTTTACTGGTTCCCAAATTGTTTTGCAGTATTTTCCAGTGTAATTGGTTCTTTTGATTCTTATCTATTCTACAATTATAGAAGTGTCTGTGGCTAAAAGGGGTTCATAGGATAAAGTGGTTAAAGGACCACTAGAGAGAAAGGTTTTTTGGTTTGTTTGTTTGTTTGTTTGGGGAATCATGGATTGAACCCAGGGGAGCTTAACCACTAAGCACATCCCCAGCCCCTTTTGTTTTTTGTTTTTGTTTTTGTTTTTTTGAGACAGGCAGGGTCTTGGTAAATTTCTTAGAGCGTCACTAAGTTGCTGAGACTGGCTTTGAACTTGTGATCCTCCTGTCTCAGCCTCCTGAGCCACTGGGATTACAGGCATGTGCCACAGCACTCTGCATAGACAGTTTTTCATTTATTTTAAATTAGATCATTAAAACCACTGGTGATAAAAGTGTTGGACTAGGCATGGTGACATATGCCTATTATCCCAGCAACTTGAGAGGCTGAGGCAGGAAAATCACCAGGCTAGACCCTGCAATTTAGTAAGACCCTGTCTCAAAATCAAATAAAAAGGGCTGAGGGTGTGGTTCAGTGGTAGAGGGTCTCTGGGTTCAACTCCAGTATCATCAAAAAGAAAAAGAAAGTCTTAAAATTTTATGAAAGTTCAATTAAAAAATAAGAATTTAAAGTTGGGGACATAGCTCAGTAGTAGAGCACTTTCCTAAGTTGCAATCCCTCACACCATGAAGAAAAAAAAATTATTTCCAACAAAACAAGTTTAATACTTATGTTGTTATCTAAAACCAAAATTTATATGCCATTAAAAATTCTTATTTCTCTGAAAATTATTACCAGTAATAATACATTTTGAAACTGCCATTTTTAAAAATTGATATATGCCACCAAAAAGAGGCAATCCTTAAAAATTAGTATAATTTTCTCATAGAAATTAACTGTCTTGTAGGCATGCTATAAAAAGTAGATCATTCTCATGAATTATTTCCTGTGTGATTTTGTAATACTTATTTCTATTAAAGTGAAATGCCTTTTTAATTAAGTAAATTATGTTCTTATATGTGTGCATTTTTTGCATATTAATAAAATGCTAAGCTAAATTAAATACAGAGATAAGCATTATAAAATAAGCCATTAATAGCTGATAGATAGCAGTGGTGCAAGCCCATAGTCTGAACTGCTCAGAAGGCTGAAGGCTGAGATTGGAGGGTGGCCATTAGCCCAGGAGTTCAAGACCAGTCTGGTCAACTAGCAACATCTCATCACAAAAATAAGTAAGTAAACAAAGTTAAAAGAACCAAGTGGAGCTGCATATATATATATATATATATATATATATATATATATATATATATATATATATATGATGCTAAGGATTGAACCCAGTGCCTCACACATGCTAGGCAAGCACTCTGCCTCTGAGCTACTGCCCCAGCCCTAAAGTGGAGCTTTTAACTAACTATTCAAATCTTTGAAAAGGAAACTATTGAGTTTCCTAACATTTTTAAATAATATAGGGAATCTCATTAAGGCTTAAGTCATATTTTATATTATTTTTTTAGGAACTTAATAATCATTTACATATTACTAATAGAGAAAAGTATCTCATTTAATTTTTTTCTCATACCTGAGGGTATTGTTCAGTGGTTAGAGCAAGTGCTTAATTTGTTGAGAACCTGGTTCAATCCCCAAATCTCAATTAGATTTTCTAAGACAGTTAATCGTGGCTTTTGGAAAGACTTTTAACTTTGAGGATTCTACTTATTGCACTATTCATTAAATAATTGTTAGTCTTTCCATTTCATCATTTGAAACGTCTTACCTTATATCTACATTGAGTATCTCAGTTGCTACCTGAACATTATTTCCACCTTTGTGCAGATCTTCCAATAACCCTGAGTACCTTTGAATGAATTTAAAGCAGCACAAGAGACAATGCCCATGTCTTAAATTCCACGAAGATCTGTAATGTAACTGGCAATGACTCCTTAAGGATTTAATTATACTTAGGAATGAATAAGACAATTTCCTTTTGAAAAATCTTTTTTATTAATACACAAACAGCTAAAAAGATAGTAGGTGACCAACCAGAGCAAAAGAATTTAACGTATATGAAAAAATTTTTTATGAAGTCTTGAGCTTGCATAAAAGAAACTTGATTTGTTTCAAAATAGTGATTTTAGTATAATTAGTCTACATAAAATGAATTGCTGCATGAAGCAAAACAGCAGCAGAAGTTTTCCTACAAGGAAGCTAATCATTTTCCAAGGTCTGCAAAAAGTGCTGAATAAAAATAATGCATTTACCTGTGGCATCTGATCTTACCCAGTATGTCAGTGTTTTAGATAATTAGGAAATGTTGAGACTACTGCCTGTGGTGCTTTTCCTGATGACTTGCAATTGATGTCTGTCAATCAAGTAGTCAAGACACACAAGGAAGAAAATGACTTTAATTTTCCTAAAACATGTAAAATACAAACAAGTCTATACACGCACACCAACTGAGTTATTCTCTCTAGTAAATATTTTGAGGTGCCTATATTATGAAGCATAGTGCTGTGAAAATTGAAGAGGTTTTAATATCACAATTTATTTTTCATTTTCTTTCTTACTTACTCCACAACATTTATTAAAGTACAGGAAGAATATGAGACAAGGATTAACTTCAAAGGTAGAAATGTACTTTAACATGTAAGTTCAAAAAGACTCATTCCTTTTCAATTGTTAATAATTTCCTAATATTTCTTTTAAAGAAGAACTTTGAATTATGCTTCTAAATCTAGGTTTTTAGAAAAATAGACATTTTAACATCCCAAAGCAAGAATATATCTAGAGAATCCTTATCTTCTCTCTGAGAGTGTGTCTAAATCTTAACCATATTTTTAATGCTTCCTAGCAACACAGTTCTGTTTTCAAAGGTTAGTTCAGGATAGTAATAATTGAGAAACAGCTTTGGTTCTTCAAAACTAGAAAAACCTGATATGCCACAGTCATTTAAAGGCTAACAAAGTAATACAGTGCAGCTTTACATTCTCAACTAGGTTGTAGTACTCAAAACATTTAATTCTCTCCAAAATGCATAAAATAAAAATGAAGTCATTCTTCTCATTATGAAAATTAGTCTTAATTGGGTATTTTAAAATGTTTATATGTTGGCTGGGCATGGTAGCATACATCTGTAATCCCACTAGCTCAGGAGGCTGAGGCAGGAGGATTGCCAGTTCAAAGCCAGCCTCAGTAACTTAGCAAGATCCTGTCTCAAAATAAAAATAAAAAGGGCTGGGAATGTGGATCAGTGATTAAGCACCCCTGGTTCAATCCCTGGTACCAAAAAAAAAAAAAGTTTGTTTCTAAGCTTAAATAGCATTTATTTGCATTTTATATCAGGTAGTCAGATAGTTCATCCTTTCGACTTATGCATCTCTGCGTTTTCTTCACAAATCACTGCAATTACATTACTGTGGAAAAGAGGTTGATAGTAATGATAGCACTTCAGATGGATTTAGTCTAATATTTCTTTATATATCTTGGTTCCTTATCTTAAAGAGTGATTCTGAGATATTTTTTTCAGTCTCATTTTTGCTTTTTTTTTTTTTTCTGGAAAGGAATATTTCCATTGTTGTGTAGTTAACTTTTTTTTTCCTTGATTCTTCCCCACTTTTAAACATTTCTGACTTTTGGAATATCATTTATGTGACATAATGTTAGTAATGTTTATGTATCCTATACAATAACAAAAATATTAAAATGTTGCTGTTTGAAAAAAGGTATGGATTGTCTGTTATTCACTTTGTCTTGTGTTTTTCCTTTCTTTGAAGGCTTATGATGGATTTGCCAGCATAGGAATTTCCCGGTTATTGGAACCTTCTGATATGGTTTTATTAGCAATTCCTGACAAACTGACTGTTATGACTTATCTTTATCAAATAAGGGCACATTTCAGTGGCCAAGAATTAAATGTTGTTCAGATAGAGGAAAACAGCAGTAAAAGCACATATAAAGTTGGAAACTATGAAACAGATACAAACAGTTCTATTGATCAAGAAAAATTCTATGCAGAGCTGAGTGATCTGAAGCGGGAGCCTGATCTTCGACATCCTACCAGTGGAGCAGTAGACTTCTTATCACAGGATGACTCTGTATTTGTAAATGATAGTGGGGTTGGAGAATCAGAAAGTGAGCATCAGACTCCTGATGATCACCTTAGTCCAAGCACAGTCTCCCCTTACTGTCGCCGGACTAAAAGTGACACAGAACCCCAAAAGTCCCAGCAGAGCTCTGGAAGGACTTCAGGATCTGATGACCCTGGAATATGTTCCAATACAGATCCAACCCAAGCACAGGTTTTGTTAGGCAAGAAGAGACTATTAAAAGCTGAGACTTTAGAATTAACTGACTTATATGTTGGTGATAAAAAGAAGGATGTGACTCCACCCTTTATTTGTGATGAGATAGACCAGCAAAAACTTCAGACTCAAGACATCAGTAGTAACATGGAGCAAGAAAAATTAGAGAATTCTAAAAACTTAGAATGCAGAACAGATGCTGAATCACCTATCAAAAAACCAAGTTTATCTCCTACTTCCAAACTTGGATACTCATACAACAGAGATGCAGACCTTGCAAAGAAAAAACGTACTTCCATGAGGCAGACAGAGTCTGATCCAGATGTTGATAGAACCACTTTAAATCATGCAGATCATTCTGCTAAAACAGTCCAGGTAAGTGAATTAGTAGAATGAATGAGTACTTACATTTAGTAAATAGCTATTCTGTCTTTTTATTTCATTTTATGCTCATAGAACACCTCAATATGTTACAAATAATTAACAGTGAAGTATAATTTGTCACTGTAAAAAATCTAAAATGTACCTGCTATGTATTTAAAGTTTATATTATTTCAAGATTACAAATCTCAAATTTAAGATTAAAGGATAAAGAATGTTAACTTTTCAAATCAAAATATTATCAATTATAAAAACAATATTTTATCACAATAATAAGTCAAAGATATTTCAGTTTTTTTATTTTAATAAGAATATCATTCTAGGTGCTGGGGTTGTGGCTTAGCAGTAGAGCGCTTGCCTAGCACGTGCGAGGCCCTGGGTTCAATCCTCAACACCACATAAAAATAAATAAATAAAACAAAGGTATTGTGTTCAACTACAACTAAAAAATAAATATTAAAAAAAAAAAAGAATATCATTCTAGGGACTGGGGCTGTAGCTCAGTGGTGGAGAGCTTGCCTTCCTTGTGTGAGGCACTGGGTTCGATCATCAGCACCACATAAAAATAAATAAATAAAGGTGTTTAAAAAAAAAAGAATATCATTCTAAAATGAAATACCCAGTTAAGTATTTCCCATTTAAAGCATTTTTATTCAATACTTCACTTGCATTTTAATTGGTATTTTTAGTTCCATTATTGCTTGTGGTTTAAAATCCAGTAGCATCTATATTTCTCCCCTAAGGGAAATATAGTGCAGTTTTGACCCCTTCCTTACTAATATTTACTGTATCGAATCTCTGGTCCCATCATCAATTATAAGATATAATATTATTTTATTTACAACAAAAAATTGCCAATAAAATTATGATAGTTTTATCGCTTAGAATTTTTATCTTATAACTACTGAAAGAACTCTTTTAGATTTAGAACACATTTTCATATCACATAAAACACTTATTTACTCAAAGACATTTTAAACAATATGAACGGATTAAGTTACTTCTAAAAGCTTTTCACATTTAGAATCCAGCTCTTCTGAATCACTTTTTGACTTAGAGTTGTTGGTAGTCCTATTTTTCCACACAGTATTGTCCTCTGTGCCATCAAAATATGGTGCTATAGCAAAAATTTTCAAAGTTTGGCCTTTTCACATCTGAGGCTGTCTCAGACCCTTTCAGAGAGCCCTCAAAGATAAAACCTTCTATCATAATGCTAGAACATTATTCACTTTTATCACTCATTCTCTCAGAAATGTATGGAAGTATTTTTTGGAGATTCCATGATTCCTGGTATTCATCAGATTTAATACAAATATGGGAGAATCCAAGCTGATTTTTTCTTATATTAAAGAGACTTACAATAAAAATTGTAAAATAGTGTCATTCTTACTTGGTTTTTGTTTCTTTTCAAGTAGTAAATTTAAAACATATTAACATCTAATTTGTTTATGATTAAATGTGTATTTATATAACTAAATATATTTCTAAATGAAAAATTAACATTTACATTGTACTAGGTATTGTAAGTAATCTAGAGATGATTTAAAGCATACAAAAGGACATGCCTAAGTTATGCATAGTATGCCATGTTATCTAAGTGACCAGAGCATCTGCAGAAAATCCACAGGGGGTCCTGGAACTAATCTGTGGGAAGAGTATATTCAAGTGATTTCTGATGGAAATGTCAAGGGATTGCTGTCGTGCCACCAGAAGTATCAAGCAATATGTAGATAGACAACTATGTCTTGACTGTGAACTGAAAGACTGTGATTGTAAGGTGCCAGAAGTATTAGGAAAGAATATAGAGGCTGGGGAAAATAGCTCAGAGGTAGAACATTTGCCTAACATGTGTGAGTTCGTGGGTTCAATCCCCACCACTATGGAAAGAGAGAGAGGAAGAGTGGGAGGGCAGAAGGAACGGAGGCAAAGAATACTTCTTAGAATCAAAGAAACATAGTAGCTATCAAAGCAAGCCTCTGTTTTCCTAATCAAAATCTTAAAGGTCTTAAGTAGCTAAACCCGTCTGAAAGTTTTCATGATCACATAGTGTTCATAAGTAGTGGATAATACACAGCTAGTAATTGACAACTCCAGAATCTGATGACCCTTAGATGTAATATCCAATAAATAGTTTTCATATAAGCCAGATTTTTAAGGCAAATGTTTTACTTAAAGCTAGAAACTGATTAATAGTTAGAAATTAGAAATATGCAGGACTAAGAATCAGTAAACCTAGTTTCTCATTTTGATTCTGCCAGTAATTAGCAATGTAACATTAACTGTTCATTTAAACTCTCATAATCTTATTTTCCACGTTATGTTAAATGAAGTAATCTCTAAAAGCCCTTTTAGCTCTAAAATTCTTTTATGTTGTGATTCTATTCATATGACTAAAGGATGCACCATTTATTTATAGCTTCATGTTTGTTCATTGGCCATTCGTTTATGGGTTGAATTTTGCTTAAGGTGAATTAAAGGTTTGCTTGGCACTTGGTTGGCAAGAATAATGTCTTGACACCAAAAATTGTAATATGGATGCTGACATTTGGTAGGTTTTTAAGAAATTACATATGTTAACTGATAGTATTCTGTTTCTCTTTTTGTGCCCTATATTTTATTAATTCTCAGATATATATCTTTCTATATTTTAACTTTTCTGAAATCAAGATATTACTTATAATAGATAGTATATTGGAATTTAATTGGTAGTGTTTTTTCTTAGTAATAGATAAAATTGTGACTTATAATTAAGCATTAAATTATAGGAAATTTGGTAGCTTAATATGTTTTTATAGACTTAACAAAATTATAATGCTACTCGTGTAAGTGCCTAGTACATGAATGGCAATTATTTATTTATCTTATCTTTCTTAAACTTTACAACTAATGAAATAAGTGGTTGAATAATACTTTATATGTGGGACATCTGGTGTTTACAGAGTAGTCTAAGGTCATATAATATATTTTAAAGTTTGAATTCCAAACCAGCCCTGTGCCTAAAGTTCACAATATCTCTTTATTTTTTATCATTTAAGCATTAAATAATAATCATAGCCCAGTTGTAAAGAAGTCAGCATTACTGATAGGCAATTTTATAATGTGCATCAAGTCCTTAAAAATGTTTATATCAGCCACACATGATGGCTGTGTGTGTCAGCTACTTGGGACATTGAGAAGAGAAGATCCACAAGCGCAAGTCCAGCCTGGGCAGCTACTTGGCAAGGCCTCATTTCAAAAGAACAAAATGTTTATCTTATTAGATTCTATTTCCAGGGATTTTTCCTAAGGAGATGATCAGAATCATATACAAAAATTTACATGTAGGAGTATTCACAAAGATATTATTTATAGGGCTGAGTTTGTAGCTCAGTGTCAGAGAGCTTGCATGAGGCTCTGTGTTTTCTTCTCAGCAGGGCAAATAAAAACATTATTTATGATAGTGAAAAATTTTCAAACAACCAATATATCCAATAAAATAAGTTAACTAATGTCTAATGAATACATCTATATAATAGAATGTTAGGTAGTCTATTAAAATCATATTTTCAAGAAGCATATATAAGGACATGAGAAAAAGCTCATGATAAAGTATTTATGGTACAGCACTTGTCTTAACATGTGTGAGGCCCTGGGTTCGATACCCACCACTGCAAAAAAAAATAAAATAATAAAGTATTAAGTGAAAAAACTGTGATTCTACAGTGATGATCTCTGGATACCATGATTACTAATGATTTTTTTCTTCTTTTTACTAATCTCTATAATTAGTAAAATACAATTTTGTAATTTTATATTTTAAAATATACTTAGTAATTTTCTAATCAGAAAATAAAATTTATGTCTGTGTTTTCTTAAGACCAAAGCACAGTTTTTCACAGTCTATGTGGATGGGTTGAATCACTAAAGGACTATAGAATTTAGAGCTAATGGAGTCTTAAAGATGATCTACTCTCATTCTCCACATTTCAAAGATAAGGAAATTGAGGGATTAAGAAATAATAATAGTCAATATTTATTCAGTGCTTATCATGTGCAAGTGCTCATTGTGTTACTCTATTACTTAATCTTTACACTATCCTTATGAAAGTTGGTCTGTTTTTCTCCGAATTTTATAAATGAGAAAATGGAGGCTTAGAAAGATTGAGTAACTTGCCTGCAATTAAGTGATGGAAGTGGCATTTGAACCCAAATGTCTGACTCCAAAATTCCTAATCATCATATAATGGAAGGCAGTATAGTTTTTAAGTGTCCTGTTCATGTTGCATTGCTTATTATTAATGACAGAGGGATTAATTTAAGCCTGATATTGTGACTAAAAATTCAATGTTCATTAAACTTTTTTTCTATTTTGAGAAAGTATTGATATTATAACCAGTAGAAATGCAATGACTAATTCTGTTATATCCTAGCAACATTAACTTAGAATCTATCATTACCACTTATATATTTCATTTGTATCTATTAAGAATTTTTGTTTAATCCTCTTAAAATCTTGAGTGATGAAAAAGTTCCAGAATTAGTGGCAATAATTCATAACCTTGTGAATATACCAAAAATAATTTATTGTACATTTTAAGGAAAATCTTAAGATTATAGAAAAAAGGTTTAAAAATAGTTACAGTTTTTTTTAATTTTTTTTAATTTTTTTTTCCTTTGGTACTAAGGATTGAACCAGGGATGCTCAGCCACTAAGCCACATCCCCAGCCTTTTTATAATATATTATTTAGAGACAGGGTCTTGCTGATTTCCTAAGGGAGCACTCAACCACTGATCTATAATGAGCTACATCCCAGATCCTTTTTTTTTTCCAGTTGTCAATAAACCTTTATTTTCTTTATTTATGTGCAGTGCTGAGAATTGAACCCAGTGCCTCACACATAATAGGCCAGCACTCTATCACTGACCTATGACCCCAAGCCCCCAGATCTTTCAAAAGTTTTTATTTCGAGACAGGGTCTCTCTAAGTTGCTGATGCTGACCTCAAACTTGGGATCCTCCTTCCTCAACCTCCTAAGTTGGTGGAATTATAGGTATGTGTCATCACACCCAGCCTAGTTATAGTTGAATATATCAATCACAAAAAGGCCCCAAAAATGGTATATTAATTTTTTAAAAGAGAAAGCTTCATATAATAGTAAAGTAATAAGTTTGTTCTCTATTTTCTTTTCCTTGACCATAAAAACTATACAGTGAAAAGGATGTCAAATTAATTAAGCATCAGAGTAAAGGTAATAGCCATCTTAAGCCAGAAGTATGGTGCTAGGCATAGTGGCACCTGCCTATAATCTCAGCTACTAGAAAAGAGATAAGTTCAAAGCCAGCCTGGACAACACATAAGAAGCTCTCTCAAAATAAAATAAAAAGGATCTGGGATACATCTCAGTTATAGAACACTTGCCTAACATGTGCGAAGCCTCATGTCCAATCCCCAGTACCATACACAAAAAAAGAATATTATGTTTTTGGATAATGCCACCATTTAAGAACTGATTTTCATTGACGGCCAATATCTGTTGTTCTCCAAAAATACATTGTAAAATTACAAATTGGAGAATATTTCTCCAATTCTGATATGATAAATTGTTTTCTTATAAAAAATGTAAATAGTAGAGAAAACCAGTTTTACATATTTATTTTTTTAAAATATAGTAGCTTTGCATTTTTCTATAAATATTAATGTCAGGAATTTAAAAGATGGTTGCCACAGGTATTTAATGTCTATCTAGTACAAATTTAGAAGACACATTGTTGTCACTTCTATAAGAACATAAAAAGTCTATAAGAACTTTAGAAAATGTTTTTGGCTGACAGATTTACTATGTTTATGAGCACATATGAGGAATATGTAATTTACACACACCACTTATAAGACTATGTTCTAATGAAAGTATACTTAAATTCAATCCAATTTTAGACAGTAAAGATATTTCATTTATGTCAAGATTTATGTATTCATTCTAAATGTTTAGTCAACATTAATATTTTGTATAGGTAATATTAGTAAGAAAGCTAAAACCTTACTCCTGACCTTTTATTTCAACAGATTGTCTAACTTTTAATTCGTTTATAAATGTAGATTATTTGTTTGATAATGGATTTGTTTATTTCTTTAAATTTGGCGTCTAATTCTGTTTCTTTGCTTTTTAAGCATCGAATGTTATCCAGACAAGAAGAACTTAAAGAAAGAGCAAGAGTTCTTCTTGAACAAGCAAGAAGAGATGCAGCTTTAAAGGCAGGGAATAAGCAGAATTCCAGCACAGCCACACCACTCTGCAACAGGCAGCTAAATGATGTGAGAAATACTGGTTGAAAAAACCATAAGTTGTTCATTATAATCATAATCAAAATGGGTGAGAAGAGTAATTTGTTAATATTTTCTGCAGACTTTGTTCATTATGAATACCTGGTACACTTATTGAACTGATAAATTCATGCCTATCAGACCATATTGTCATCATTTTTACATAGCAATGTTAACAACTATCAGAAAAGTAAGATCCTAGAGTACAAATTCCATGTATACATTAATAATCTGTTTTTCGTTGAATTGCATTTTGTAAGGCAAAATGCTCAGTGGTAGAGCACTTGTCTGGGTTTGTTTCCCAGTACCACCATCAAAAAAAAAAAAAAAAAAAAGTTATGATTGTACTCTTGTTTAAACTGTATTTTGTTCATGGAAGTTAATTTTGTTGCAAATAATAGTGTATCAATGATGCCTGTAATTTATTGAATGCCTAACATACATTCCAGGAACCATAATTATTATACTTAATTCCATGAATATATTCAAACTACTTATCAGAGTCAGTATTTAAACCTGAGCCTTATTAGATTTTCAGAAATAGTGCTTTCTCCTATTGCCATCCCTGGATTAAACCACATTTTTATACATGTTTTTATGTAGTGTTTCACAGACAATATAATGAACATATAATAATTTAAAGTCATTAAATATTAGAAAACATAAACCTCTTCATGAATTTGAAAACTGTGACAACCCTGCCTACCACCAAACTCACATGTACATAAAACTATAGTCTTTTTTAAGACTTTGCAGATATTAATTTAATTATCTCTGACTTGGTGCATTGTTTTTCAAACTTCAACTCTTTTTTTTTTACACAATAACTTTATTTTCTTTATTTATTTTTATGATGTGCTAAGGATTGAACCCAGTGCCTCACACGTGCTAGGCAAGCACGCTACTGCTGAGCCACTCCAGCCCCAAACTTCAACTCTTTTATACATCTTGGAATATAGATCAGTTTAGTGAACTACCGTAACTTATTTTTAATGTATAGGAATAGAATAGAATAGAAAATATCAAAATTCATCACACTTTATTAGTGTAATATTTTGTGTGTGTGTGTGTGTGCGTATATGTTTGTGTTTGTGTGAATTTTTTGTTTCAGTTACATGGATATGTATTTTTACTAGATCTTGAAATAAACTGTATTCTTAACTGGGGCCAGGATCAAAAAAGTTTGAGAAACACTAATCTAGAGGACCATTCCTTCTAAGGAAGAACCTGTAGCTTTTATGTTGGGTTTTTCAGTAGCTAACCATCTTTATATAATCAATTTGTTGATTCATTCACTTGCAAGATACATATTTTCTTTAAAAAGATATTTATTGGTTATATAAATCAAGTCAATTCACAGTGACTGAAAAACATTAAGCTTTTTTCCTTCATGGAGTTTACATTCTGGTGGGAAAAGGAGAGATAGTAACAAGTAAATAAACACAATAATTACAGAGTATGAAAATTGTATGTGTATAGTAGAGGATAATTTGAAGGTAGAGGTTAAATGACCTGAGGAAGATATATTTGAACTGAGATTTGGATAAGAAGAATGTAGTCAAGTGAACAACCAAAAAAAGAATATTCATTTTTAAAAAGAACAATTTGTGAAATTAATATTTGTGACAATATTTCACAATTCTTTCATGTTCTAAAAAATATAATTTAAAAATATAGTTATATTCAAATATATACTATATCATTTTACCTATGTATAAATTTTACCTATTTTAATAATTATTATCTAATGTTTGTTGAGCACTTGGTCTGTGTCAAGCAAGATTCTAAGTGCTTTCACATAAATCATTTAAACATCATAGTAAGTAGATAAATATTATCATTCCCATTTTACAGTTGAAAAAACTGACACACAGAAAATCATTGAATTGCCCATGATTACACAACTAATAAGTAACAGATCTAGGAATTGTTCCTAAACACTCTGACTTGAGATATTATATTCTTAATGTACTGTGTCATAATTCTTTTTTTTAATATTTATTTTTAAGTTTTTTAGGTGGACACAACATCTTTATTTTACGTTTAATGTGGTGCTGATGATTGAACCCAGTGTCTTGTGCATACTAGGCAAGCACTCCACCACTGAGCCACAACCCCAGGCCCCTCATAATTATTTCTTGTTTATTTTTCTGACGTCTTTGTGAAGGAAGAGTAGATATTAAAGTAGTAATTAGCTATCTGAGTTTGGAAAAGGTGTTTAAATTTTCCTAGAGTAACAAATAATGCAAATTAAGCCTAGAATTCAAGTATATTGACTCTTAAGGCTATTTATTCTTTCGTTCGGTTTATTCATTTGTTAGTTCAACCTTTTAACAAATATTTCTCAGCCATCTCTTCTGTATAAGACACCAATAATCTTACTTATACGTTTTATTTCCCAAATGAAACTTAAACTTTTAACTAAGTTAAAAGTGTGAATTCAATACTAAAAAATAATGACAGCTGGGCATGATGGTGCACCCTTATAATATAAGCAATTCAGGATGCTGATAAAGGAGGATTGCAAGTTCAAAGCCAGTCTTGGCAACTTAGCAAGACTCTACCTCAAAATAAAAAATACAGAGGGCTGGGAATGTAGCTTGATTGGTAGAGCACCCCTGGGTTCAAGCCCTAGCACTGAAACATAAAATTACTAAAACATCTTTTATTCCATGTCTGTGACATTTTACTGAATATATTTATAATTTGGATTTTTAAGAAACTCTGCGGATCAGCATTTATGAAATTAGATACTCTTTTACATTGTTGGAAGCATGGAAATTGCCGCACCTTTCTGAAAAGCAGCTAGATTTCATCAAGAAATGCTCATTCTGATCATGCTGAATGAAATAAGCCAAACCCAAAATATGAAAGGTGGAATGTTTTTTCTGATAAGTGGATGCTGATTCATAATGAGGGGGGGGATAAAGGGACTTTGGATTATGTAGAGGGGAGTGAGGGGAGGGGAGGGGATTTGGGGATGAGAAGGATGGTGGAATGAGATGGACATTATATCCCTATATATATGTATGATTACACTACCAGTGTGACTCTGCACAATTTTCAGTCAGAAGAAGGAATAGTTGTGCTCCATTTGTGTACAGTGTGTCAAAATGCATTATGTATAACTAATTAGAACAAATTTTAAAAATAAAGGTTAAAAAAATGCTCATTCTGGGACTGGAGGTGGTAGAACACTTGCCTCACATATATAAGACCCTCCTGGGTTTGATCCCTTGCACCACAAAAAATAAAAAGAAAGAAAGAAATGCTCATTCCTTTTCATAGTAATTCCACAAATAAAAATAGATTTGCAAATTTTCATCACAGTATTTTCTATAGTAGCAAAAATTTCAAAGTGGCCTTATATGCTCAAATATAGGGGAATGATTAAATAAATTAATACAAATATATATATTTGTTATATACGCATTAAAAATGATCTTCACTAATGTTTTGAAATAATATTTTAAAGACATAAGTAAATGCTCACAATGTCATTTTGTACAAAAAGATATGAAATAGTGTATTTTATATATTCTCCATTTTGAAATAATATAGGCTCTTTTATATTTACACTGAAAAATCATCAGAATGTTAACAGTGTTTATCCCTAAAGGGTAGAACATGTTTATGAGTTGTTATTTTTTTCCTTAGTTCTTTCTGTATTAAAAAAAAAAAAGGCATATTAATTTAGGGCTGGGGATGTAGCTCAGTTGGTAGAGTGCTTGCTTTTCATGCACAAGGCCCTGAGTTCATTCCCCAGCACCACAAAAAAGCTACGTCCCACAATAAAGATATCTACTTTAAAATAAATAAATAAAGCACTCTCTCCTCTTCTCCCCCACCCCATTCCCTTCTTTAAAAAGAAAGAATTAAAATCATTTTTTTGATACTAAAAGAAGATGTTTTAAGCAAATTGTTATCTTAGCATACCCAAACTTGACTAAAGCAGTTTTACTCAAACTGGGGTTATATTTCAGTATCTGTAAAGTGTATATATATACTTAAAGTGAGAGATATTTGGGGGCTGGGACTGTAGCTCAATGGTAGAGGGGAAAAAAGAGAGAAACAGAACTCTACAGTTAATGATTTAAGTGCATGCCTAGGTATGGAACTAGGTATGGACTGAATGATTCAATAATAGATAGACTATTGTGAAACTGACAAACAACAATCGTGGTATCTCACAAGATACCTCATTATTGGTTTGATAATTTCTTGGGTCAGCTCTATTGTATTTATGTATTGGTTGTTTTTCCCCCATCCATTTTCATAGCTGGCTAGCTACATGGCAGTTTGATCTGTTTGTTACATTCATTTCACACTTACCCAAAGGTGTGCCCTATGCTTGTGAAACTGTTTTTTGTTGTTGTCGTTGTTTTGTTTTGTTTTGTTTTTAAGTTTTAGGTGGACACATTTTACATTTATGTGGTGCTGAGGATCGAACCCAGTGCCCTGTGCATGCCAGGCAAGTGCTCTACCACTGAGCCACAACCCCAGCCCCTGTTATTGTCGTTTTGTTTTGTTTTTTGTTGTTGCTGAGGTTCTAATCCAGGGCCTCACATACATTAGGCAAGTGCCCTACCACTGAGCTATATCCTCAGCCCTGAAACAAGACTTGAATAGTCCCAAAAATATTTCCATATCCTTCCTCTTTCAACTTATTTATTTTTGCATAATAAAACATTAACAACACAGTAGTGCATTAAAAATTAACATACTATGGTCAATTTGAATTTATTCTAAGAATGAAAGATGGTTTAGTATTTCAAAAACCAAGCAATGTAAATGACCATTTTAACAGAATAAAGAAGACTAGCGATAATTTTAATTGGAGGATACAGAAAAAAAGTGAAAAATATCACCATATTCATGGTTCAAGAGAAAAATAACACAATTCCTCACAAATTATGAATAAAAAGGAACTTTTATTAACTTGATAAAATGTATCTATTACAATCTTATAGCCAACATTATAATTAATTATG